GGATCACGAGGTCAGGAGATCCAGACCATCTTGGCTAACATGGTGAAACCCCGTCCCTACTAAAAATACAAAAAATTAGCCAGGCGTGGTGGCGGGTGCCTGTAGTCCCAGCTACTCGGGAGGCTGAGGCAGGAGAATGGCGTGAACCCTGGAGGCAGTGCCTGCAGCGAGCGGAGATGGCGCCACTGCACCCCAGCCTGGGCGAGGCAGAGCCAGACTCCATCTCAAAAAAATAAAATAAAATAAATAAAAATAAAAAAATTTTATCCCATAGTAATGAAATCTCTTAACAGCTAACGTAAGAAACAATACATACGCTACCCTTCAAAACTCCACTTATTCCTAGACTTCAGCACTTATTATGAATGGTATTTGTATCTTAAATACTTCCACAGTAGACAGTTCAGACATACACACACACACAAACCATAACACAAAGTTTTACACATACATTTAAAACTAAATCACCTCATGTGATTTAAATGAGAAAAATGAACTACTGACTTTTTTTCATTTTCTCAAATGCTACCACAAGAATTCTCACAAGCTATCAGCCCCAAATCTATCTTTTTCAGTATTTTGTGATAGCTGGTAGGTAGGAAAGTCATCCTGGATGACAGGTTAGTTCCCATTCATGTCACCCTTAGGTAACAGATATGATCCTTAAAGGCCTTAGTTTCGCTTTACTTCATCTTGGATTTGCTCCACACTGATTTGTCCAAACCAATTGTGAGGTATTTACCTATCAACAGAAGAGCTGCATCCATCACTGCTGCACCATTCAGCATAGTAGCCATCAAAATATCATGGCCAGGACAGTCAACAAAGGAAACATGTCTAACAATTGAGAAATAACAATCAGCCTTAACATCAATCACTACTTAAACATGCTAGTTATAGATTTTTTTAAAGTTAAATCAACTTAGGAAATAATCTTATTGGTATAAAATGGTTACAGGGCTTGGTGTTTCTAGAACTTGGAAATAAGTTCACCAGCTGATTAAAACCACTGCAGATTACAAAGCAAATTAAATTAGTTATGTGCAGAACGGAAGATAAAGAAACTCCCAAATCCAACGAAAGTGAAAATGGTATAGAATAATCGTGTAGAGTATATACTGAGAATGTCATTGATTTGAAAGCTAAAACTTATAATGACTTATCCCAGCACTTTGGGAGGCTGAGGCAGGTGGATCACCCGAAGTCAGGAGTTTGAGACCAGCCTGACCAACTAGTGAAACCTGGCCTCTACTAAGAAAAAAAAAAAAAAATTTTTTCCAAAAATACCTGTAGCACCTTGAAAAGCTAGAATTGCCCATTTGAAACAGAGATGGCAGCCCTTTTTAAAACAAAACTATGGTATTCATTCAGAGTCACAATTTTTTTTTTCATCGTATGCTCACATTGTCATGATCTAAAACAGAGGTCAGCTCTTAGGCCAAATTTAGCCCACCACCATATCTATTTATACATATATTGCCTACATCTGCTTCTGTAATAGAAGAACAGAAGCAACAGAAACTCTGGCTTGCAAAGCTGAAAATATTTACCATCTGGCCCTTTGTGGAAAAAAGTTTGCTAATCCCCTACTAAGGACCAGGACTACAGTGAGACAAGCGCAAACTTTAAGAGAATGCCAAAAAACTCAGTAATCAAGGAAAATGGCCAGGCATTGAGGCTCATGCCTGTAATCCCAGCACTTTGGGAGGCTGAGGCAGGCAGATCACTTGAGGCCAGGAGATGGAGACGAGTCTGGACAATACGGTGAAAGCCCGCCTCTACTAAAAATCTAAAAACTAGGCTAGGCACAGTGGCTCACACCTGTAATTCCAGCACTTTGGGAGGCCAAGGCCGGCGGATCACAAGGTCAAGAGAAAAAGACCATCCTGGCCAACATGGTAAAACCCCGTCTCTACTAAAAATATAAAAATTAGCTGGGCGTGGTGGCGCGTGCCTATAATCCCAGCTACTCGGGAGGCTAAGGCAGAAAAATAACTTGAACCAGGGAGTCAGAAGTTGCAGTGGGCCGAGACCACGCCACTGCACTCCAGCCTGGCGACATAGCAAGACTCCATCTCAAAAATAAATAAATAAATAAAAATACAAACTAGCTGGACGTGGTGGCTCATGCCTGTAATCCCAGCTACTCAGGAGGCTGAGGCATGAGAATTGCTTGAACCCAGAAAGTGGAGGCTGCAGTGAGCCGAGATCGCACCACTGTACTCCAACCTGGGCAACAGAGAGAGACTGTCTCAAAAAAAAAGAAGAAAGAAAAGAATAAGAAAGAAAAATATATGCATTCAATATTTTTAAAAAGTCAAAATTAATGCAAAAAATCAATCATAAACAAAATACAAAGCCATGCTGAGCCACAAAGTGATACTGAAGCAAGAGGGGAAACAAATTCAGTAATATTGAGTCTGCCTTTATTTAAAATTCTGATATTGTTTATCATATTTTTTGCATTAATTCCAAAAAAAACTGCATTAAAATATTTATCCTAATTACTGAGTTTTCTGGCATACCTCCACCCCCAGGCCCACTTAAATTTTGGGCTTGAGGTGAAGGCCTCACTTGTCTCTCCCTGGTCCCAGCCCTGCCCCAATCTAAACATTCCTTGTAGGGCATCTCCAATCCCCATAAACATCACTAGACAGATGTCAGTATCCTGATAAAAAACCAGGTATGCAATCATATTCAGAAAATAGATGGCGAACAAGTTCAAGTGTTTTAGAGAATTAGAAATGGCTCTGTTCATCTCTATTTAATATACAAAAACAGCACTGTTTAAAAGAAATTCAGGAAGCCTAGAAAAAGAATCCCTTCAATCCAATGAGTTGTTTTTCTATTTTGTTTAAGTGATACTTTTAGTTTGGAGAAATTGCAGGTAAGTATTTTAACTCAGGTTTAGATGCTTGACTTTTCAGATTTGCCATAAAAACATAAAACAATGGAAAAACAACAAAACCATTTAGCAATTAGGTTCATTGTTTAACATCTCAATATTTCAAAAAGTACAAAACAGAAGACAATAAAATATAAAGTGTAGTATGCTTAGCAAAAAAGAGGTCACCTGACTAATTTGAAGTTCCCTTTGGTCCCTGCAATGTCTGTAGGAAACTCATCAGGTGTACTGCTCCCACAAGATCTATAACATTCTGGCCGAGGGCAACTTGGGTCATCAAGTTTATAAATCTAAAATTTCAATAAAAAAAGATTTTGATTTATTATCTGCACAACAATTAAAGTTAGTTTCTTGTTCCACAGTACACAGCTTACCTTAGCATTAGCATATCCAAGCTTGATTGTAATATTTCTTTCTAGTTCATTTTTGAACCTGACGGTGTGAACTCCAGAAATAGCTTTGACAACTGTGGATTTCCCATGAGCTACATGACCAATTGTACCTATGGTCAAAGTTCAAAAAATTAATTCATGTGTATTTAATCACATACCAAATATTTTTTCAAATAGTGTTAAGTGTAGAAAACCCAAAGTCGGCTGGACATGGTGGCTCACACCAGTAATCCCAACACTTTGGATCACAAGGTCAAGAGATCGAGACCACCCCAGCCAACATGGTGAAACCCCATCCTACCAAAAATACAAAAATTAGCTGGGCGTGGTGGCGCGTGCCTGTAGTCCCAGCTACTGGGGAGGCTGAGGCAGGAGACTCATTTGAACCCAGGAGGTGGCGGCTGCAGTGAGCCGAGATCGCACCACTGCACGTCAGCCTGGCAACAGAGCGAGACTCTATCACAAAATAAAATAAAATAAAATAAAATAAATAAAATAAAGCCAAAGCCATAACTTACTGTAAATATCAACATAAAACCAACAGTGATTTCCATTTTTCCTCCTCCATACCCCTTCCTACTAGAAACGTGTTCTCATATAGGACTGAAGAGAAACTTCCATGTAACAGCTTTACTTAAAAAACATACTCTGGGACAGACTGGAGTGCAATGTCCTGATCACAGCGCACTGCAACCTCAACCACCTGGGCTCGAGCAATCCTCCCACCTCGGCCTCCTTAGTAGCTGGGACTGCAGGCATGCACCACCACACACAGCTAATTTTTTGTATTTTTTGTAGAGATGGGGTTTGGCCATGTTGCCCAGGCTGGTCTCCAACTCCAGGACTCAAGCAATCCACCCGCCTCCCAACGGGCTGGGATTACAGGCATAAGCCACTGCACCCAGCCAGAACTTTATATATTAAGGAACCTTCCAGCATTTCCAGATTAAAGTAAACAGGTATGATGGGCCCTGACACAACAAAAAGGGATTTGTGAACAAACAAGGAAACAACCTAAGTTTAATTGTAATTTGTTCCAATGATCAAATTATTGGGTCAATATATGCATAGTAATTCGCTTTAACTGGTATAGTCTTAGCATAGGTTGTTCGGAGATTAAGTTATGCTCCAAGGTCACCCCAACCAAAATTTTTAATGCAGGGGCAGTAGTTTAAGGCCTGTAGGCTTATTTGGGCTTTGTTTGCATTAATAAGTTAAAGCTTCAGACTGTAATACTGTAACTTTAATAGCCTCATGGTGGGGTCTTACTTTTTAACTAGGTTAAAAACTAGTCTTACTTTTTAACTATGCTGTTTATACAAACTCAAAATGTCCAAAATTTACACTCGGTCAACCTAACTTCTCCTCTAAAGTTCCAGGTGCCAATTAAGAAAAAAAAACCCTCTACTTAATCACAGCTTGTACATCAAATAAATCTTTCATAAATTCGGCCCTTGAAATAATCCTGTGTGGCAAGTACAGCCACATTTTCACCTCTTCCTTAAACTTCTGCTACGTATGACTACATACTGCCTTATGCTATTAAACTTTTCTTATGTCTCCATTTTTTCTTCTTACCAAGTCTGTAAGCTAGACATGGGCAGCATTCTTTGTGATCCCTTCCCCCGCAAATCTAGCAGGTGCTTTATTCACAAGGACTCAATATCTATTTCTTGAATATGTGAATCCTCATATTATCCAGGTAATCACACAAAAAGTGAGGTTAAAATTAATTGTTGGAGATCAAGAAGATCAGGTTTCTTAAGTTACTCTCACCTATATTAATTGTGGCTTGCCTGCTGATAACTTCGTGTGAAAGTGGCGTCAACTTGGTAACATCCTGCAATGAAATATATTTTAAAACATCGCACATAAAACAAAGCACAACTTTTCCTTTGACTTGACGTTTGCCATCTACATCTCGCCACCATCTGCACAGCTTTCTACTACTTCTACAGCGCCTTTCCTCTATCGGTAACTCTGTACTCCTATGGCTGGGAAGCTGTAAGAGCCCTTCATCATTACACAACAGACTACACCTCCACTCAACCATGGGATATCTGGGGATCAGAGGCTCCCCTAATCTTGGGAACATTAGCACTAAAAGTAATGTAGACAAGACACTCCCTTCCCAGACGTTAAGAGGCTGAAACCATGACAATCAACATCAGGACTTCCAGCCGAATCCTCCAGAAGCTCGAAGTCCCACGACCGTACACCTCTGCGCCCAGATCGTGGACTGGCCTGGGTACAGGCGGCGTGAGCATGGCTTAAGGCGCCCACCTCCAGGTCTCCCTCCTGACCCAGGCTCCTGACCCATGCTCCCGACACTGACTAGTACCAATGCCACCGGGAGGCTCGGTCATCTCCACTCCCGAGCTCACTCTGCATCCTCCCCAAGCAAAACCTCACCAACGTAGTGAGATCCTGACGTGAAAGATGCGGCTGCCCCAGAGTCACTCCAGCTTCTCCGCCCGCCATGTTGCCAGAAGAGGAAGGAAGTCACCCCGGCTGCCGCCTGATCGTCTGCAGGGGTCCTAGTGCGGGGCGGGGAAGCGGAGGCGGGAAGGCCGAGTAGGGGCTCAGGATGGCCAGTTCAGCAGCGGCCTCACTACTTGGACTTCTCTCCGCTTGAATCTGCACAGTGCCTGTCGGTAGGCTTACTGGAAAACACGGTGCAAAGTTGCTGGAGCAATTCGTCGCAGACCTGGTAGATATTTGTGCAGGCAATATTGAGGGCAGCCACCAAACCCCCGCCCCGCCCGGCCCGTGCGAGGCGGGTGATGCAACCCGGCGCGCCCGCTGGCCAGGGAGAGACCATTTCCGTTTCCTGTGGAGTTTCCCGAAACCTGGGAATCAGCTACGGTGTGAGAACAGAAAAGAGGGAGTGTCCACCCCGCCCTTTTTTTTTGAATACCGATTTCTGTAATTTAATAAGGCGAGATCGGCTCGGGGTCCGCGCCCACCTATGACGGGGCTCTTGGCTGGGAAAAGGCCGCGTGCTGAGCCCCGGCGGGTGGCGGGGCGGGCGCCCCCTCGCGGAAGTTTGGTGAAGGGCTCAGAGGGGCAGGGCTAGCAAAATCAGTCCCTAGCTTGTTCCCAGAGAGTGATTTCTAGGGCCCGGGAGGTGGGCCTTGGTGACGTTAGACTGCGTTCCCAGTGAATTTAGCTAGGTGTCGTGAGAGCATCTAAAGTGCGCTGTTTTGTTTTGGTTTTTTTTCTTAAAGAAGTAGGTCCAAAAAAACCTCGATTACCGATAAATCGGTATTTTAAAATTTAAAAATTCTTGACACCTTAACCCACTTTTCGTCGTGTTGAAAAGCAGTTGAGTGATTTTTTTTCTCTGTGCATTTCTATACAAATGTTGTCATAAACAGCTATTTCCTTTTTTGTTTGCAATAAATTTATTTACATAAAAACGTGTGAGACAACTATTATGCAAAATTATAGTAAAGAGAAGTGAAAAGATAATATGAAAGCCACAATGACGAATACTGAGAAGCCAAGCTCACTTTACAATACTTGTAAGTAGTCATCAAGTTAGCTTTTAGGAAATAAATATTATTAATGAGGCCGGGCACGGTGGCTCACGCCTGTAATCCCACTACTTTGGGAGGCCGAGGCGGCCGGATCACGAGGTCAGGAGTTCGAGACCAGCCTGGCCAATACGAAACCCCGTCTCTACTAAAAATACAAAAAAAAAAAAACAACACACAAAAATTCGCCAGGCGTGGTGGTGGGTGCCCGTAGTCGCAGCTACTCGGGAGGCTGAGGCAGGAGAATGGCGTGAACCCAGGAGACGGAGCTTGCAGTGAGTGTGCTGAGATGGCGCCCCTGGACTCCAGCCTGGG